AAAATACCTTAAGACCAGTGTAAAAACGCACAAATGAGAGAGAGAGAGAGAGAGAGAGAGTTTTTGTATTTCTTTTTTATGGTCAAGCTGCAAGGTAAAAGGATGGTTTACTTCACAACATTCGGCATAGTGCTTATACAGTTTGCTGCTTTCATCTTGATCGTTCAAGAGGCCACCACCATACCATCCATTGGTCTCATTGACTGAAGTTGTTGCAAGATACCTGCAAAATTGTGATGTATGAGTGAATATTATATTAAGACTAGCTGAAGAAAAATATGTCCAGTTGAGACATCTCGCAAGACTGATAATACATTGCAACTCACCTCTGAAAAATATCTTCCTCGCATACATTATCAGTAGTAGAGAGCCAATTCAAATCAAGGTAATCGTCCTCACCCATCTCCTCTTGAGACTTCCCACCCCGTGCAAAATGTTTCTGAGCAGGACCGTTTTCCTCCACTTTTCGCTGGCCAAACAGCCAATTTGGGCTTTTAAGCTGTATTTCACTGAAACAAAAAGTCACAGCATTCAGTAAATACATTAAAAGACTAATGGAATTAGAAAACAGATGACTAAATTGTAAAGCATGCTAATAAGTGCTCCCTGTCTAGATGACTGCGTGTGGTGGTAGAATCATTCCATAAACTAGAAGTTACACATGAACATGGAATTTTCTTATTATTAAATCGCTGTGAATTGAAAGCATACATAGGTCTTGATTGGCACAGTATCCAGGCACCACTACGAGGCTAACTAGGAATATTGTAAGTTTCCGGGCTCCTCTTTAATCTCTTGGAGAAACACTAAACAGAATTCTATGTCAAAGTAGTCCACCGAAGATGATACAGAGGAATGTCAACTGCTAGGAATTACATAATATAGTTATGTGCTGTCACGCCCCAAAAATTTACAATACTGATATATCTGAGATGTGACAGTCAAAAAATATATACATCTCTTGACAGGACAAATTTACGATGGCGAATTCTTACAAAGTAACAAAAGAAAGTTTAAGCACAACTACAATATCTTCCAAAGTTGATCCTGACGAGCACTCAATATGAAACCACAGTTATCCTGAAAAAAATGTTCACCATAGTTTGATGAGTTGGGCTACTCAATAAGTGATCATCATAATCCTAAAAATAATCATGGTTGAAAGATATCAATATTTTCAAAAAAAAGATCTATTAACAAAAATGCATCAACAGTTTCACTTTCAAAAATGCATAATTAAGTATAATCCAAATAATTGAAATGCATATAACATTTTAACGGCAGTGTATAATTCAAAGGATTTCACCAATTACCCTACTTGCGTCCCAAGTAAGTCACCTATATACCTCATCAGCGTCCTGATGGGTCCACTTAATCCCTATCGGCATCCCAGATAGGTCTACTTAATCCCTGCAGGTCCACTTATACCTCACCGGCGTACCGGATGAGTCCATTTAATCCCTACCGGCGTACCGGATAGGTCCACTTATACCTCACCGGCAACCGGATGAGTCCACTTGCATACTTAAAGTATTTCTAAATCTCTTTAAACATTCGAAAGCAGCAATATCATGTACTCAACATATCACTGAAATTATTGATATGAATTTCACTGAAACCATTAATAACAGTCACTTTCAATAACATTTCAAAAATAACCAGTCAAATATTTTGGGCTCAAATTTAGAAAGGTAGCAGTTCGTAAAGACATTCTAGCATAATTGCCAATCTAATATGTATAGAAAAACTCTTATAGAAATTCAAGAATACAGAATTATCACAATTTATGGGATGTCAATTCGCAAATAAACATTTCACAGACAATGCTATAATCAA